AGCAATTTCATTTATACTAGCACCTAAAAGAATTAAATACATCCAAAGAGGTGAAAGACTTATCTGCTGAAAACTATGAAAACATTCTTGGAAGAAATTAAGGAAGACCTACATGAATGGAAAAACATCCATGTTCATGGATAGAAAGTCTTAAAAATGTTAAACTGTACACACCATCCAAAGTGATCTACAGATTTAACACAACGCCTCTCAAAATTCCAACACCTTTTTGGAAGAAAAGGAAAAGCCAATCCTCAAATTCATGTGGAATTGTAAGGAGACCCCAAGTAGTCAAAACAATCTCAGAAAGGATTAATAAAGTTGGAAGGCTCACAGTTCCTGACTTCAAAATTTGCCACAAAGCTACAGTAATCAAATCAGTGTGGTCCTGGCATCAAGACAGACATACAGACCAATGGAATAGAAGAGACAGCCCAGAAAAAAACTCTCACATATATGGTGGAATGATTTTTGACAAGGATGCCAAGATCATTCAATGAGAAAAGAACAGTCTTTTCAACAACTGGTGCTGGGGAAACTGGATTTTCACATGCAATGAAATAAAATTGTCCCCCTGCTTTACAGTATATACCAATATTAACTCAAAGGGGGCTAAACATAAGAGCTAAAGCTATAAAACCCTTAGAAGAAAACACTGGAAAAATCCTTCATGACATTGGATTTGGCAATGACTCCATGGATGTGACACCAAAACTTAGGCGAAAAGAAAAAAATGATTGAATTTCATCAAAATTAAGAACTTTTGTGCATCAAAGGATACCAAGGGAGTGAAAAGGGAGTCAAACAAATGCAGAAAAAAATCTGCAAATCTTATGTCTGATAATGATTAATATGCAGAATATACAGAGAACTCTTACAACTCAACAACAAAAAACAAACCAGTTCAAAAATGGACAAGGAACTTGAACAGATGTTTCCCAAAGAAAATATGCAGATAGCTAATAAGCACATGAAAAGATGCTCAGTATCATTAGTCACCAGAGAAATGCAAATCAAAACCACAATGAGGTATAGGGGTTACCTGGGTGGCTCAGTCAGTTAAGTGTCTGCCTTCGGCTCAGGTCATGATCCCAGGGTCCTGGGATTGAGCCCCGTGGCAGGCTCCCTGCTCAGCGGAGAGTCTGCTTCTCCTTCTCCCTCCCCCTCTGACCCTCTCCCCACTGGTGTGCTTGCTCTCTCTCTCCCTCTCAAATAAATAAATAAAATCTTAAAAAAAAAAAAAACAACCCACCACAATGAGGTACCACTTTATACCTACTGGGATGGGTATAATTTTTTTAATGGGAAATAACAAGAGTTGACAAGGATGTGCTGTGGGAATGTACAATGGTGCAGTTGCTGTGGAAAACAGTTTTGCATTTCTTCCAAAGATTAAACACAGAACTACCATATAAACAGCAATTCCACTCCTAGGTATATGCCCAAAAGAACCGACATCAGGGACATAGAGATACTTGTACACCCATGTTCATAGCAGCACGATTCACAACAGTGAAAAGGTTGAAACAATCATGTCCGTCAGTAGATGAATGGATAAACAAAAAGTGGTCCATCCATACAGTGGAATATTATTCAGTCATAAAAAGGAAGGAAATACTGACACCTACTACAACATGGATGAACCTTGAGGACACTATGCTGAGTGAAATAAGCCAGACATAGAAGGACGAATCCTGTATGATTCCACTTATATGAGGAACCTAGAGCCGTCCCATTCATAGAAACAGAAAGCAGAGCTGTTGTCTAATGGGGACAGGGGATGATGGGGATGTTGTTGGGGATGATGAAAAAGTTTCAGGTAGAGATACTGGTGATGGTCATACAACATTGTAAATATAATTAAGGTCACTGAATTGTATACTTTCAAATGGTTAAAATGGTAAATATTAAATTATGTATATTTTACCACAGTTTTAAAAAGCAAATTGGCAAAAACTGAACTTTAGGTTAAGTTTTATAAATGTCTAGACCTGGGCTTGGCAAACTTTTTCTGTAGTGCCAGATAGTAAGTACCTGTGGCTTTGTGGGTCACATGGTCTCTGTCACAATTACTCCATTCTGCTGTTGTAGCCAAGCCACAGACAAGATGTAAATGAACAGGCATGGCTCTGTCCCAATAAAACTTTATTGACAAAAACAGGAGACCGGCTAGATTTGGCTTGTGGGTGGTGGTTTGCCCACCCCTGGCTTAGACTATCAGAGGTCATAAATATCTTAGTAAGAAAATCAGAAGCATCGATCAATTTCTTGTATGAGGCTATGATTTTCAATTTTCTTCTTGCTGTCTCTTGAACAGCAGTCTCCTGGGCCAGGGACAGCCTTGGGAAGGCCCAGCTCTGGAATCAGCATAGAGGGTGGCTCCCCCATCTCGTCCTATCCCCGCCAAACCTCCCATAGCTTGTCTGGCTGCTGGCCTCTGAGGTTTTGCTGGACATATGGGCTGGACTGAGGGCTCAAGAAGCTCCGTCCATGGGCTCTGTTCCAGATGGTCTGACCACAGACCTCTGTCTGCCAAAGCCTTTGACCTGCGGGCCTTCCTTTCAGAAGGGCCCTGCTGAAAACCGCAGGTTTACAGGTATGAGTGTGGCCTTCCCTGGCAGATAGGAAAGGTGCTGGAAGCTCTGTGGGCAGCCGAGTCCTGGGGCTAGAAATCTCTAGGATGTGCGCAGGACGCACGTGGTCAGCAGGCAGATGGGGCAGCCCTCACTGACCTCCACACACCCTCTCAAGCTAAGTCTGGGCCCAGCTCTGCCGGCCTCGGGGCCAGGTGGACAGAGGGAGCTAGCCAGAGACAGTCCCTTTACCAAGACCACACGTGCTGGTGTGGGGTGGGCGTGGGGTGGAGTCAGGCCAGGACTTTGGCTCTTCTGTGGTTTTCCTCATCTGTCTGAGTCTACTGTTCTGTTCCCACCTCCTCCATCCTTCCTCTCTCCTGCTGGAGCTTTCTGGGTATGGGTCAGCGTTCTCTAGGAGAGGAGGGAAGGAGAGGTGGGATTTTGCCCAGCTGGGATTTTGGAGATGTCATTGTCCTCCAAGCCCCCCACTCTGCTGGCCTTCCTGTTCCTGGTTTCAACTGCTCCATGGGGTCTGTCTTTCCTTGGGATCTTGCCCACCCTTTCTGGAAGAAGCCTGCCCCACTGTGGCCCCACACAGCACACCTGCTTTTTCGCTTCTGTCTTGTTGATGATGCTGATGATCCTCTGTATGACGTTCTTGGCTTTCTTCCTGTTGGCTGCCGAAGACAGGAACGGAAGCCAGGTGTTCCAGTAGTGCCTCACGGCCAGCATCACCAGGGCGCTGTTCCTCGCGATGCCCCCAAACCTGAAAGGGAATTCCTGACCTGGAGAGGTGTAGACATGGACGGACAACACAGCAGCAACATGTGAGGCTTCTGGATTTACAGGGGAGGAGGTGGGGCTGGGTGCCACAGAATACCCCATGACATGTGTGCTCCCTCCCTTTGATGGCCACGTGGTGACCCGCTCATGCCCAAGGGGGTGGGGTGGGGTGGGGGGTCACCACAAAGGGTGAGATAGCTCTGGCCATGGGGTCACCAAGGGAGAGCCAGCCTTAGTGACAGTCCCCACTGAGCATCGTGTCCTTCATTACATGGTCCTGCAGTTGCCATTTATCCCATGCACAGTATGCACCCCAAACCCACTGGCCACTCAGCACAAGACAGCATACTGGGCGCTCTCTATGAAGGCCTTGGCAGCCACCAGGCGCAGCTGCTTTCTCCCCTTCAGGTTCTCCATGATGCTCCTGCCCTGGATGCAGGCTGTGGTGCTCAGCATCTCCGCCACGAGTTCAGTCTCGACCCTGGAGACAGACAAGTGCCTCACATGCAGGACGGCTCTTCAGGGGAGACAGGTGCTATGCAGAAAGGTAAACGAGCCCTGGGGGCATCCACAGTAACCTCATGAAAGGCCCCAAACCACAACTGACTGGCTGAATCCAGTCAACCCACAGGACCGTGACGCAGAGTCATGGACTGGTGTTTTAAATGACTCATTTGTAAAGTGTTTTTGTTGTGCAGCAGCAATGGGTGAGCATCACAAGCCCCTCTGCCCTGCTCCCCCATAGGATGGCCGGGCACCCCCAGGAACAATGGAGCTCCATTCCCTGTGCCCCAGTGAGTGTGGTCTCAGAGGGCCTCCACTGTGTGCCGAGAGCCCAGTCCTATACGTTTCTGACTCAAAGCAATGTCAAGAATGCCGTGTGATCCGTTCTCCCTCAGTGTTTACTATCCTAGCCACACTGTGGCTTCTGCACATACACCACCACGTACACTAAGATGTCACCCCCTGTCCAGGGCTGGAGGGGAGCAAATCCCTGAAACTCCACTCAGGGGGCACTGGACTTATCCTAGGAGAAATATACTGGTTCCTGGGCAGACTCCCTCCATGGGCCACCTGAGTCTTTATTTTTGAAGTGTCTCTTGATAACAGCTTCTAGTTGGGTCTTACTTATTGTATCCAGTGGGATAACCCCTGCATATTTAACTAGAGTGCTGGTCCATTTACATTTAGTAGATTCATGGATGTGGTTGGGGTTGAATCTTCCATTATTCTTTGCTTTCCTTTCATCCCCTATGTTGTTTCTTTCCTCCCCTCTTTTGGGTTAATTGAATATTTTTTAGTATTCCATTTTGTCTTCTCTATTGGATTTTTAGTTATACTTTTTTTTTTTATCATGTTTTAGGATTTGCTCTAGAGATTACAACATACATCCTTAACTAGCACAGTCTAGCTTGGATTAATGTTCTATCATTTCACAGGTGATGTCAGAACTCTTAACAGTATACTTCTATGTACCTCATTCCTATCATTTGTGTTATCATGGTCATGCATTTTACCTCTACATTTATTAATAATCCCACAATTCAATGTACTTTGGTTTTAAATAGGCAAATGTCTTTTAAAGAACTGAAGAACTGAGGGTGAAAGCCTTTTATATTTACTTACACATTCACCACTTTGGGAACTCTCCATGGCTTCTTGGACCAGCTTTCCACCTGCTATCATCTTCCTTTAGCCTGAAGAATTTCTTTTGGCATCTCTTCTAGGAATGGATTATCTTACCTTCAGTTTATCTTAAAACGTCTTGATTTTGGGGCGCCTGGGTGGCTCAGTTGGTTAAGCAACTGCCTTCGGCTCAGGTCATGATCCTGGAGTCCCGGGATCGAGTCCCGCATC